ACACACCCAGTCACCCAGGCTGGAACCATGTAGACACACACACTCACCTAACCTGCACATCTGCATACATCCTTCAAAGTTCAGCCAAATAACATATAAACATATCCAGTAACATCCATCAGTCTTAGTTCTGCCGTAACAACTCCTTTTTGATCATCAAACAAACAGGCTAGGTCCGCCATATTTACTTGTCTGGTCCATATCAAAATTTTCTAACAAATTATATTAGAAAATCAAATCTCTGTCAGTTTCAAAATGCATGAAAAAAATTGCCTTATTTCCCTTATACTTGGCTATCCTAACAGTAATCTAAATATTAATGATAAAGTTAATGATGTCGTTTGCTTCTCCCAGTTGTAAAGAAGGTTTGGCTGCCCCGTTTGATCACTAAGGCTAATTGACATGCAGAAAAAAAGCATAGGAAACTTCTCAGCATCACAAAAGCTCTGTCATCTAGAGAAGTTAGGACTTGAGCTCAAGTCCTGTGACATGGAAGCCTTGTGCCTAGCTACCCCGCAGCAGAGCCCGTATCCTTCACTCGTACCAAGAAGTGAAACACTATGAAAACAGTCTTTACTCCACATTTTAAAGTGAGGTAGTTTGGGGTGGTTTATATTTTATTTAATGTATCTATTATTTGGATTTTTTTAGTTTATAAAAAGGGCATTGGCAAGGGCAGAATGATCTATAAGCTTCTCTGCCCACCTACCATAAGCATGATCTTTAATTTGACCTTTTCTTACCGTCATCCATTTCCTTATACTTCAGTGTCCCTGTCAGTCACTTTCATGTGAAGACATGGGGAGGATTTTTCACATCAGACATGTTGTTGAAAATCAGCCTCATTGACTGAGGGATTATTTGATCCCTTCCTCTGAGTCCATTAGGCTCACATTGCCTCTCTGTTTTTTGAATTTTCAGTTAACTTTATCTTCTTATAATTACTTTGCTAAAATAAATGCAAAGCAACAAAAGGTATTTAGTGAAGAATATCAACAAAGCCATGACCATTTCAGGCTGAGTTTTGAGTATTCTTTGTCTAGGAAGAGATACCTAGAAAAATTTTCTGACCATGTATTTGATTATTTCCCTTCAATATGTATAGTCTGTCTTCAAATTTCAGAAAAGAATTTGTGTATTCGTTGTCATTTAAAATCATTGTGTTAAATATGTATGCTTTTACATTATAAATGGTTATAAAAGTTAAACACTTAGAAAAAAGTCAAAATAACATACATAACTATCCAGCAAAATAACTTTCATATTTTATTGTGTTTTCTTTCAAACTTTTTACCTTTGCATCTGAATTGTGTGTAGGTTGTATCTATAATACAAATAACACTTTATAGTCTGCTAAATATTATACCATAAATAGGTTGTTTTTACATAATTCTCAGGTAATAGTAATACATGTCTTTATCATAATCTACCGAGTAGCTGAATGATAATTTCTTTTTAAGACAAGGTCTTGCTCTGTCACCCAGGCTGGAATGCAGTGGCATGAACATAGCTCACTGTAGCCTCTACCTCCCAGGCTCCAGTGATCCTCCTGCCTCAGCCTCCCAAGTGTCTGGGACATAGGCATGTGCCACCATGCCCAGCTATTTATTTGTATTTTTAGTAGACTTGGGGTTTCATTGTGTGTTCCAGGCTGGCCTTGAACTCCTGGACTCAAATGATCCACCTGCCTCAGCCTCCCAAAGTGCTGAAATCACAGGAGTGAACCATAGCACCCAGCAATAATTTTTTAACTCTTCATTATTCATTGAACATTTAGTTAACAATTGTAAAAATGTTGTTTCCTGCTGTCATTGATCTTGTGAAGAATATTTTTGGACTATAGCTGTGGATTATTTCCTAAATAGTGAACTACTTGAGCAAAAACTTTACATACTTTGAGGGCTGGTAACCCATGTTGCCGCAATGTTTCCCCAAAGGCATTGCAGAGTTTAGAATGCCAGTACTTACATTAAAGTGTGCCATTTTCAACATCCCTGGCCAACATCCCTATATGTAAGATTTTTCCAAAACATGGTTCTGATTTTTAAAAGTGAAAAATGCTACTTCATCATGTTCTTTTTGTGCTTCTCACTTTAAATATTAGAATGAAGAAGGAACCCCACAGGAAGGAATTCTACAAGATATGCCTGTGGATCCTGACAATGAGGCTTATGAAATGCCTTCTGAGGTAGGAGTCCAAGCTGAATCTTTCTAACAGTACCAAAAACCTGTCATTGTCATATTTCTCTTGCTTAGTGAGAATCATTTGCTCTCTACATGCTCATTACGTGGACAACTTTCAAGCTAGGAATGGTTTTTACATTTTTAAAGGGTCCAAAAAAAAAGAGGAGGAGGAGGAAGAGAGGATGTAACACAAATCCTATCTAAGTCCACATAGCTTAAAATACTTACTACTTGACCCTTTACAGGAAAAGTTTACTAACCCCTGCATTAGAGAATATATTTTTAGAAACTATACATTCTAAAATAAGTTTCTAAATGGAAAGTTAGGGAAATCAACGGAATGCCAAAGGAAGGTAATTATTTTTTGCCATACATTTCCAGTGGGATGATTGCATAGTAAAATAAAAGTTACCCACACAAGTTATAGAATGAAAAGATAAATGTATGATTTGCAACAATTGATATATTCCAGTATAACATTTTAAACAACGTATGATTGTTAATTTTATTTTGATTGAAAACAAAAGTATTTTAATAGAAAATGTATCAAAAGGGAAATTAGAAAATACTGTTAGATGAATAAAACTTACCCAAGAAGAAATAGTAAATCTGAATAGTTTTGTATAGATTTGTAACACAGTGAAGTGATTAAATAATTAAATTAGTAAAAACAAAAACAAAAACAAAAACAAAAAAAAAAACACCTGCATGCAAAGAAAATCCCAGGCCGAGACAGCATCGCTGGTAAATTCTAACAAACATTTAAGGAAGAATTAATACTAATTAGTTAACACCAATTAGTATCTCTTACACAACATAGAAGAGGAGTCATTTAGACATTTCCCAACTAATTCTGTGAGACCAATATTACCCTGATAATCAAAACCAAACGAAGATATCACAAGAAAAGAAACTGTATGATGGTTCCATTAAAAATTGAGTTCAACTATATTGTGGTTAGGTTATGTATTATTCCTCATGGCATTATTAAAAGGCATATCAAGGATGGGTGCAGCGGCTCACACCTGTAATCCCAGCACTTTGTGAGCCAAAGTGGCCAGGTTACCTGAGGCCAGGAGTTCAAGACCAGTCTGGCCAACATGGTGAAACCCCATCTCTACTAAAAATACAAAAATTAGCCAGGCATGGTGGAACACGCCTATAGTTCCAGCTACTTGGGAGGCTGAGGCACAAGAGTTGCTTGAACCCAGGAGGCAGAGGTTGCAGTGAGCTGAGATGGCACCCCTGAACTCCAATCTAGGCAACAGGGCAAGACTCTGTCACACACACACACACACACACACACACACACACACCACACACAAAACATATTAATAATAATTCAATTTACAGAAATTGAGATTAAATTGTTTGCCTAATAAGAATTTCCAGTATTTTGGGGTCTTTTATGCAAGACACAGTACTAAACACTATAGAAAACTATAGTGTAATTGACATTACCAGGATATAAGGAGTTTACAGTCTGGTAGGTTTGATGAAAAAAATAGAAATTCATTCATTCATTCCTTCATTATGATTCCTTCCTTTAACAAACATTATTGATTGTCTTCTATGTACCAGGCATCACAGGAGCAAAGAAATACAAGATATACTAAAATATATAACATTTTAAAGGATCTGTTTCAATCAATCAGGAGAAGTTTTATTGAGGAGGTAATGTTGATCTGGGTGGGAAAAGGAAAGAGATATGGTAGGGCAAAACAAACAGAGGACGTTCTGGCACAAGGGAATATCAGAAGCAAAGGCATATATGTCTGAGAATGCAAATGGATATGTCTGAGAACAGTAAATAATTATGACTCAAGCTTAGGAACAAGGAAAATGGTGATAGATTGAACCTGCAGCTATGGGTCAAAGACAAATTATAGCGTATTAGGACAATCTTGTCATTTAAGTTTGTGTTCTATTCAGAAAACAACTTCAGTTATTGAAGATATGCTTATTTGTTTGTTTTTAAGCAGAATCCTGATATTATTAAAGTTGCTCTTTAGGAGGAATAATCTGACCCCTTTAATTACATCGTTAATATTTGTATTGTGGGTGCTTTCCAGATATTGTATGGAGAGCTTGGGGTCTGAAATACAACTAATAATTGAAGCCATAGATGAAGATGAAATTTTCAAGGGGGAGGGTGAAAGTCGGGAAACTGTACCTCGCCTTCAAACGTCTTAATTTCCTTCTGAGAATTAGAGCGTCTTAGCCCTGGAAAAGGCTTTATAGACCGCTTGATTTTATTCTCACATTTTACAGGTGAAGAAACTGAGAATCAGCCAGTCCAACTTATTTGTCCTACCAGACTAGGTATATGATCATTAAATGGTACATCTGGATTAGAACCTAGATATTTTAACTGATTACGACCACAATTCGCGTCTATATCGGACAGGAAATACACAACTATTAAAAATAAGATAATGTATATTGCAGAATATTTGCAAAAACATTGAGTGTAAATTTTAATGTAAGTGATGAGCCATTTCCTATCTCATTGGCTGTCAGTGCTGATGCATGATTGAAACTTACACTAACAGTGTGTGCTGTCTTTTTTATTTTTCTAATATTAGGAAGGGTATCAAGACTACGAACCTGAAGCCTAAGAAATATCTTTGCTCCCAGTTTCTTGAGATCTGCTGACAGACGTTCCATCTTGTACAAGTGCTCAGTTCCAATGTGCCCAGTCATGACATTTCTCAAAGTTTTTACAGTGTATTTTGAAGTCTTCCATCAGCAGTGATTGAAGTATCTGTACCTGCCCCCACTCAGCATTTCGGTGCTTCCCTTTCACTGAAGTGAATACATGGTAGCAGGGTCTTTGTGTGCTGTGGATTTTGTGGCTTCAATCTATGATGTTAAAACAAATTAAAAACACCTAAGTGACTACCACTTATTTCTAAATCCTCACTATTTTTTTGTTGCTGTTGTTCAGAAGTTGTTAGTGATTTGCTATCGTATATTATAAGATTTTTAGGTGTCTTTTAATGATACTGTCTAAGAATAATGATGTATTGTGAAATTTGTTAATATATATAATACTTAAAAATATGTGAGCATGAAACTATGCACCTATAAATACTATGAAATTTTACCGTTTTGTGATGTGTTTTATTAACTTGTGTTTGTATATAAATGGTGAGAATTAAAATAAAATGTCGTCTCATTGCAAAAAAATTTTTATTTTTATCCCATCTCACTTTAATAATAAAAATCTTGCTTATAAGCAACATGAATTGAGAACTGACACAATGGACGTAAAGTTATTAATAGGCATTTGAAGAAGGAGGAATTTTAGAAGAGGTAGAGAAAATGGAACATTAACCCTACACTGGGAATTCCCTGAAGCAGCACTGCCAGAAGTGTGTTTTGGTATGCACTGGTGCCTTAAGTGGCTGTGATTAAAAAAAAAAAAAAAGTGGGCTCCAGGGAACGAAGCAGTGTAAAAGATGATTTTGACTACATCCTCCTTAGAGATCCATGAGACACTTTAGCACATATTAGCACATTCAAGGCTCTGAGACAATGTGGTTAACTTTGTTTAACTCAGCAGTCCCCATTTAAAAAAAAAAAATCATCAAAAATTCTCTCTCTCTATTCCTTTTTCTCTCGCTCCCCTTTTTTCCAGGAAATGCCTTTAAACATCTTTGGGAACTATCAGGATCACCTTAAAGAAGATCAGTTCTCCAGACTGATAAAAATTTCATGATCTCTTTTAAATGTTGCCAAATATATGAATTCTAGGATTTTTCCTTGGGAAAGGTTTTTCTCTTTCAGGGAAGATCTATTAACTCCCCATGGGTGCTGAAAATAAACTTGATGGTGAAAAATTCTATATAAATTAATTTAAAATTTTTTTGGTTTCTCTTTTTAATTATTCTGGGGCATAGTCATTTTTAAAAGTCACTAGTAGAAAGTATAATTTCAAGACAGAATATTCTAGGCATGCTAGCAGTTTATATGTATTCATGAGTAATGTGATATATATTGGGCACTGGTGAGGCAGGAAGGAGGAATGAGTGACTATAAGGATGGTTACCATAGAAACTTCCTTTTTTACCTAATTGAAAAGCGACTACTACAGAGTGCTAAGCTGCATGTGTCATCTTACACTGGAGAGAAATGGTAAGTTTCTTGTTTTATTTAAGTTATGTTTAAGCAAGGAAAGGATTTTTTATCCAACAGTATATTTCAGGAAGGTTAGAAAATAGCTGTTAGGATATATTTTAAATCTACCTAAAGCAGCATATTTTAAAAAATTAGAAGTATTGGCATTAAATGAAGAAATAGAGGACAAAACTAGACTGATGGCAATGACCTAGAACATTTTGAGATTAGTAAAGTTGTGACCATGAATTTAGGGATTTATGTGGATACAAATTCTCCTTTAAAGTGTTTCTTCCCTTAATATTTATCTGGTAGTTATTTATGAGCAGTGAATTATTTTGTAGTTTATATATCTTAATAGTTTATTTGGGACCAAGCACTTAACAAAAAGTTCTATAAGTCATAGAAGCCTTTTCAGGAAGCTTGTCTCACATTCATTCCTGAGACATTCACCTGCCAAGTGGCCTGAGGATCAATCCGGTCCTAGGTTTATTTTGCAGACATACATTGTCCCAAGTTATTCAGCCTCATATGACTCCACAGTGGGCTTTACCAAAACAGTTCAGAGTGCACTTTGGCACACAATTGGGAGCAGAACAATCTAATGTGTGGTTTGGTATTCCAAGTGGGGTCTTTTTCAGAATCTCTCCACTAGTGTGAGATGCAAATACGTTTCCTCATTTTTCTGGCTCATCCAGTATGTAGCTATTTGTGACATAATAAATATATACATATATGAAAATATGTGTTTGGTTTCTGCCTCCAGTTCTTACAAAGAGCTCCTAAAACCCTTGTAATTTCCCGAGTGGTAGGGGTGCTAGGGTCATCTTTTGTTCTAATATTTGGTCTTTGATCCTGCTTTCTGACACAGAGCTCCTAAGTCCCTGGGCGAGAGTAGTATCTTCTCTTCTAATGAAGGGACTCTTGCTGGGTTCCTGGACTGGGGCTGGTCACCAGAAAAGTCAAGCCATGATAAGAAGCTTGAAGCTTTTAGCCCCATTTCCATCTTCTGGGGACAGGAGAGAAGAGGAGCTGAGTTAATAAGCAACCATGCTTCCATGATGAAGACTCCGTAAAAATCCCTGAAAGACAGGATTCAGAGTGCTTTGAAGTAAGTGAACATGCAGAGATGCTGGGAAGGGTGGTGTGTCCAGAGAAGACATGTAAGCTCCCCACGCCTCCCCCATACCTTTCCCTGTGCATCTCTTCCATCTGGCTGTTCCTGAGTTGTATCCTTTTATAACAAACTGGTAATCTAGTAAGCAAACTGTTTTCCTGAAGTCTGTGAGTCACACTAGCAAATTATCAAATCTGAGGAGAGGGCCGCGGAGAACTTGGATTTGTAACCAAGTCAAGCAGAAGTTATGAGTAACATGAAGACTCATCATTTGCGATTGTCATCTTCAGTGGGGAGGGGGAAAATTTTGTAAAACTGAGCCCTTAACCTGTGGGTCAATGCTAACTCCAGGTAGATAATGTCCGATTTGAATTACAGGACACCCAGTTGATAGCCACAAAGAATGGGAGAATTGCTTGGTGTAGAAAACACACCCCACACACACATGTGGTGGTAGAAATGAAGTGTTCTGGAAATAATGAGTGTTGTGAGTGAGTATATAGAAAGAAAAACAGCTTTTCCTTTTCACTACTGGGTTAAACACAAACACACTTATGCATTCACACATCTCAAAGACAACCATCAATTCTCAAAGGTGGTGCCGTCTAAATCCATACTGAGGAAGAAAACACATTTTCTTTTCCAGTCTGTAAACCTGACAGACTGCCTCGTCCACACACGAATGGAACTCTGTGTTTTATCTGGAATGCGTTCATCCCATTTAGTTCTTTCTGTCTTGGGCAGGGCAAGAGTGCAACAGGGCTGATATTTTCATATGAGCTCTGTCCCTGTTATTGGCTATACTTAGACAAATTATTATGTGTCAAATATAGATGTAAGTGATTTATCAATATTAAGTCACTTAATTCTCAAAACAACCTTAATAGGTTCCATTATGATTCTAATTTTATACATAAGCCAACGGAGGCACCCTCAGGCTAAATAACTTTCCCATGGCCACACAGCTAGTAAGTGGCAGAGCCAAGAGGCCCAACATTACAGTACCACAGTCTGTGCTCTCAGCCCCTTGGCCACATAGTGTCTGAGCGAGGACACAGAGCTATTTAAGAGAACTTCCAGAAGTCTAGGAAATGGAGTGATAGCTCCACTTTTCTAGGTATAATTATTAGATATTTGTTTTTCTTCAGGCACCCAAAGAAAACTTACTAGAGTTTGAGCCTTTAGCAAGTTTTGCTAGTGTATTTGTTTTTCTTCAGGTGCCTGAAGACAAACATATATATATACACACACACACACACATGCACACACACACACAATGTGCATCTATATATGTGTGTACACACATATATACACATATCTCTCATCTATATATATGTCTCTCTATATATCTATAAACATACATCTATAGATACATAGAGAGAGATTTTAATTATTTTTTCTTTTTTTTTTTTTGAGACGGAGTCTTGCTCTTGTCACCCAGGCTGGAGTGTAATGGCACAATCTCAGTTCATTGCAATCTCTGCCTCCAGGGTTCAAATGATTCTCCTGCCTCAGTCTCCTGAGCAGCTGGGATTACAGACACCCACCATCTCAGCCCAGCTAATTTGTGTATTTTTAGTAGAGATGGGGTTCACCATGTTGGCCAGGCTGGTCTCGAACTCCTGACCTCAAGCGATCCACCCACCTCGGCCTCCCAACGTGCTGGGATTACAGGTGTGAGCCACCATGCCTGGCCAAGATTTCTAATTCTAAGAGAAATTAACACCTGATAGATATTTCCTTGTAACTAAACCAGGCATATTCTGATTATAGAACTAAGTTATTTATTTTCAGTGGAAGATACAGATGTTGATACAATAATAGCAGCAGTCTACAGTAAGGTGGGCTTTGTAAATTTCTATGTTGAATCATGGCATGGTTACTTGGCTTATGTCAAATAGCCAAAAAATATAAATTAAAGTATAACTAAGATTGTCAATTACACATATTTAGTAATGGAATGAATGAAGTTATAAATAAATAGTAAAGGGCATGAATTAATAATCTGTATGTATAAATAATAGTAGCAACTTAATATTGTATAATAAACTTCGATTTTTTAGGTGTAGTTTTTTGATGCAGTAATGTTCATTTTATCCTTTGAATAAGCATAGAATGGAAGAACCCAAGATGCAATAGAACAGATATAACACTAAAACTATTCTTAAATATGATTTTAGTTCCAATGTTCTTTGTGTAATTACCTACGGTTTTCTTTAATGTTTTGCTCCTACTACATTATCCTTAATTATTTGAAATCTTACTTTGGAAGCAGTTAAACCACATTCCTTCAAATAGCCCTTAGTTTGAGCCTTTAGTAAGTTTTGCTAGTATAATTTGGCTTTAAAATCAGCAGGATTGCGTAGGGAATTTCCATAACATATTGTTGATCTGCAACTATAGGTTAATGTACTAGGATGGCTTCTCTTATGAACCTTATGAAAATATATCCTCAGATTCCCTCAAAGGTCAGTGACAGAAATCCTCATTGTTTCTATGGCAACACAGCAAGAGATGGTGCCTTGGAAATGTGCTGCATTTTAATTAGGTTCCTCTAGGGCTTCCTAACTGCCTTTTGCAGGTAAACTAAATACCAGGTTGCCTTTTATCTTGCAATGAAATGAAAGCTAACGCATGTCTGTAAATGTCAAAGCTAAGCTGTGTTCCAATAAAGTTGAATCTAAACAAATATAGTAGCAAGTCATGCTTTTATCTTAGAAAAGAATACAATACTCTTTACCTAGAATAGTCAGGGATGCTGCTTAATGAGGTAGGTTAGAGCAATAGAGAATATCCTGAACTCTAAAACTATTAATAGACTATGGAACTTCGACTCCTATTTATGCCACTTACTACTTAATATTAGTGTCTTTGTTTCCTTATACATAAATATGCAAATGATAAAAATAGTGCCTCATGGCATTGTTGCATGCATTAAGTGAGTTAACCTAAGTGGAACACTTAGGACTGCCTGGCTGATAGTAAGTGATCAATGAATCAATGATGCTATTTATTAGTAGTAGTACTAGTACAGCACACTGTATTTTTAAAGGTAAAAAAGAAATAACAAATTTTTTAAGTGTTCAGATACATTCACATGTCTTCTTTTAATATAAAATAGCAATCAAGATCAAGATAGTGGTAGAGATATTTTGGAGACATAAGGCAGAGGCTATTTACTAATAGCTAGGGGGGCATTTTACTAGTTTACTGACCAATGTTACTATACTTATGTGTACTTTGCAGAATATCACCTAGCACCAAAAAGAAATTAAGAAAGTGTAACTTACTGAGAGGTGAATATGCACCAACTCCGTAAACACTATGTTTATGGAACACATCTAACTTTAGACTTAGCTATACTCATCAACTTATGTATCTTCTCATCCAAGTGGGATGTGTTTAATATTTACCATATATTCATAAATTCACTGAGTATTGTTCTGGTAACTAGAAAAAAAAGGACAAGCATATATAAGTAAAACTCACTGATCTAAAACAGAGTATTATCAACTACAAAAGAAAAAAATAACCACTTGAATCTCCACCGATTCCACCTATTCAATAATTCTCAAATCTCATTTATTTCCCATTATCTTCCCTCACACCTCTTGCATTTATTTAGTTAAAGTTCTTTTTGATCCAAAAGGAAGCAATGTTTACTGGGCAATTTCTACCTTATGCCAGAAACAACAAATATACCAGCAATTACAGTATTTCCAAGAAAAGTATTGTTTGTTTTCTCTTCATGTCTTTGGTGAGTCCCTTGGAATTAGGATCAAAAAAGAGCGCATGAGCTGGTGAGATGTTTGCTATTGTCCTCTGTCAGATTTTCCTGTGCAGCAGCATGGAAAGTAGGTCAGTAGGACAGTGCATACTTGTCCTTTTGCCTTCTGGACACTGCGACAACCTAGGAATTGAGAGTAGCAGAAAATTATTGTTCAATACTATGTTTCCTAACAAAATCAACTCTTGTAAAAAAACAAACAAAGACTAAATATGGACAGATGAGCCTCTAGAACGTACTACTAGAACGTACTATGTGTTGCGTAAGGCCTCATCCAAATCTCTATGGAAATGGTCAAAGCAAGTTTGAGAGGCTGCCAAACATTAGTAATGTGGCAGCACTGACTCCTGCTGTTGAAGATGGAGTGTCCATGTTGAATGATGAGAAATCTGGCAAGTCTTTTTGGCAAACTTCTTTGGAAATCCATCTTGGGCATCCTTAGCTGTTTGTGCCATCCTTTAGCTAGGTTAGGCCATTTGTCTTAGATCAATGGGCAAAAGGGTAACAGCTGAGAAAAAGACCTTTCCTACAATTTTCTTGATCTCGTCTAAAGCAAAAGAAGACATATCTCTGAAGGAACTGTAAATCATGTATTGTCAATAACTGATTCTGAGCTCTGATTATCACAGCAATGTTTGGATGTGAACACTGGTGGATACTTGGTGTCATTCTAAGAAGGAATCCAACACAATCCAAAGTTATGTTTAAGAACAGCTCTGTAAATCAATATTGTGGAGTTTCGGTAACTGTGTTTTCACTGCCCATGGTGAGAATAGACATTCAAATGCTACACTCTGTTGATTTTTGATGATCAGACCTACTTCCAGGCTGTTAGGTATAGGTTTTAGTCATGATTTTCTTGCCAATTATTTCTGAACATGCTAGAAACAGTTCATTTGAAGTAATTCTTTCTGGAATAACAATGATTTCCACATTATAGTCCCCTTTTATAGATGAGAACTCATATTGATAGTCTGTAATTGACTTGAATTTCTTTTTTTTTGAGCAGTATCTTTTCTGACAAACCATTCCATCCAGCTGCCACATACACCCAGCAGCAGTTCAGGAAAGACTGATCTGTAGTCATCATGTGTAATTATGGAATGTGTTCAATATGAAAATGCTGATAGCTAATCTTAAACACTTGATATCTGTATCTTTCTGACTTCTGAATGCATTTTTTATTTGTATTCCACTTACCCACAAAAAACTCAGATCTGGCTTAAAGTAAACATGCAAACCACAAAACAAACAAACAAAAAATTGCACTGGACTATGAAATAAAGCTAAATTTTTTGTAAGTGAGAAATCATTTACATGTATAATGGGGAAATGAGACTACTGAGAATACGGTACAGAATAATGTAGTTATATCCTACTCTTAGATCTAAGTTTCTTAGTAGCCAAATCTATAAGAGCAACACAAAGATCACATAGTTTTCAATGTCTGTAGAAAGAACCCATTTTGTTATTGTTATTGTTTGTGATCATTATTATTATTATGCATTTATTTTTTCCTATTTTAATATTAAATAGCAGCTTACTACCGACCAGCTCTTTTAAAAACATGACAGTCAAATGGCAGCCTTCCAAATCATAATTCCCTATAGTCAAAGACATATTCACAACTGGTATCTTTTCCGAGGAAGAAATAGTGGCAGTCCCATGACATCCTCGTGATGGAGTACTGAATAAACTACGGTGTTTTCCCTTTTAGTGCAGGCCCTGCACAGGATGGGCAGAATAGACAGGTACAGTTTGTCAGTTCTTCTGTGTTTCTAGAAGCATCTAGCCAAAGTTCCAAGCTCTGCCTACCCAGTGACAGAATTAAAATCATTTCTTTTCTTTAGGAGAAAGGCCCAGTGGAATAATCTGTACAAACGGTGAAGGCATCCCACAATATTCACGTATAGAAGACTCAGGTGCTTTCAGTACAAGACATGTTAGGAGAAAAGACCTTTCGCAATTTACTCATCTATGGGAAGAAGGAAATGCTGGGAAGAAGTCCAGATGTAGACAACAACAGGGAGACCATGCAACAAATGACAGTATGCTAAAGGTCTAGCAAGAAGGAGCTAGAAGCATGCAGGAGAAGCAGCACTGAGAATAGGGAAACAAGTGCTATTCACCCAGGCAGGGTCAGGGAAGTCTGACAGCAAACAGTACCACCTCTACCCAAGTCAGGGGTTTAGCAGCGAGATTCTGGAATCTTCTGTGAATTGGCAAGACTAAAATCAGACTATAGGCCAAAAGACTAGCATCCTAAAGAGATTAACAATAAGCTCTACTTAAAATACCTTATCACCATATCAACTAGCCCAAAATTTCAGCCTTGACTCACAGGCATTTGGCAAAAGAATAAGCAACACTCTTACCATGCTTTGAGACTTTGAGAAATTTTACATTTTTAGGAAAGGTTGGTGTTGCTGTTGAGAATTCTGTTTAGAACCAAATGTTTCCATACATATCTGAGGCCAAGGTGAAGCAGAAATATGAAAAATGCTATTTTGCCAGATACTTGGGCCTTGCATTCTCTAAACTATTTCGCACATTTCAGTTCACTCTCTGTTTTGTTTTCTTTCAGGGAAAAATCAAAGCACTCAAACATACAAATTCCAGGAAGTAAATTGATTGGCACTGTGCATTCTGAAAATCCTCAAAGCATACATTTGAAAAAGTTTAGGTTTCTAGGTGGAATCGTGACCGTATTTCTGTTGCCTGTGGCTACCTAATTAATTTTCTTCTTGGTGAATGTGTTCATACTGTTCAGTTTAGACAGGAGTTGTGAGTGAGATTGCCATAGGGAGATTCCCCAAGGGACAGCAAAGAGAGTACAGTTCAAAACAGCCTGGATTGTTAAAAGGTACAAAAAAAAATTAGAGTGAGATCAGATCAGGATTTAGGATCTAACAGAGATGTAGGAAGAAAAATCAGTCTGAGCAGTTCTATTTATCAGGGTCTAGCAAACCATTAGTGCCGACAGCTCTCCCAGAAGACACATCTCCTCCTTTTGTCCCCATCAGCCCTTTCCAGTGATACAGAAGCCCTGCCCCAGTGGAACCCCGAAGCTGCAGGTTGTCTGAAGATCAAAGAGTCACATAACTTTATAGCTGTCCAATGTCTTTATTTTATAAATAAGCGAACACCCAAAATTACATGGCGCCTCGCCATTTTGGATAGAATCAAAACAAACCTTTGACCAATAATTCTTTACTGCTACAAAAACTATTACTGGTGAATTTCATCCTAAACCTTTAGATACATTCCAGAATATATCTATAAAAGGAACACAAAATATTAACACTAAACCCCAGCATACACTGGAAGCATAATAATGCTCTCATTTAAATGTGGGCAGTTTTCTTATATAACAAATTTAGGATTCACTAATTCCTGCTGCTTTGAGCCACTATATTACCCCTGCACCTTCCTTATTGCTGTGGGAAACAAGGTACTTTTTAAGTAATCTAAGAAAAGTACAATAAAAATATATATATATAAATGTATAAGAAAACAAACACAAAATTCCATATCTAAATATTTAGCACAAAAAATAAGAACTTAATATTTAAGTTAAGAACCACCAGTACACCTATACAAATGTAACTTCATTAAGTTCTTTTCTGATTACATTTTTGAGCCCTTACAGTACAATGGCTAGTAGAATCTTGGTCAGAGTAAATATCTGCATGAATGTGCAAACATCATTATTAGATGTTATTCTTAAATACAAAATTTGTTATACTAGATATATTAAGATTGAGATGAAAAGAAACCCATTTGTACATTCACTAAACTTTTTTAATGGCTAAAAATTATTATATCATTCAGGTATACAATTAATTTCTTACAAGTATAGAATAGATGACCTTTCAAGTGACTACTATCAAGTACAACGACATTTACTTTCGAAATGTTATTTCTCTGTTCTTTAAACCATGGCCAAGTTGTCTTGATCCCTTAAATAAAGAGACTGTAGGTCACTAGAGAGAGAAAAAAAAGAGGTGAGTGCTAATCGTTAGGAAAAAAAAAAAACCCTCAGTCATCTCAGGACACCATCAGCTTAAAAGAAGACAGCACTTTTTTGGGAGTATGTTTGACATTTTCCACATATTTCAAGAAGGTCTTACAGATCTAAAATTGTAGCAGATGGAGAAGCAGCAGGTGTGAACTCAGCAACTATACAAAAGACAAGATTCCAAACTAGGCCAACCACTTAAGGTCTTTCACATTTGAGGTGAGGGAATGGATTTACTTTAGAAAAGATATAAAAGTGTATGTGTGTGTGTGTGTGTGTGTGTGTGCGTGTGTATAAAATGCATTAAAAGCTATGTTAATATATTTCTATAAGACATACCATGGATCTAGAGCCTAGGAGATGGATGATAGCAAAATAAAACAGAGGAAAGAGTTCTACACGAAAGTTAAAAGAAGAAACCTAATTCTGTTTACTGTCCAAACTAATTCAAGTTACTGTGCTGTTTTTAAAATTTATATTCATTTTTATTTTTATTTTTAATTATACTTTAAGTTCTAGGGTACATGTGCACAACGTGCAGGTTTGCTACATATGTATACCTGTGCCATGTTGGTGTGCTGCACCCGTTAACTCGTCATTTACATTAGGTATATCTCCTAATGCTATCCCTTCCCCATTCCCCTACTCCACGACAGGCCCCGGTGTGTGATGTTCCACGCCCTGTGTCCAAGTGTTCTCATTGTTTAGTTCCCACCTATGAAGTTTACTGTGCTTTTAACCTCAGGAATATGCTTCTCTAAAGGCAAATTCTTACTTATTTTAACAACCTCTCCTCAGACACTTGCTCGCCAGTTATTTCAAAATTATTAAAAAATAAAAACATAGCTATTTTCTCAATCAGAATCTCTGGGTTCAAGTTTTAGTTCTACAATATTCTAGCTACGTGACCCTAGGAAATATATTAGCCTCTGAAAATTAGATATAAATTGGAAATTAAAACATTCACTCTGCTTTGTTTTAAAAATTAAATGAGATCTACTATGAGTATATTAACTCTTAATAATACCTAATATTCTTTATTTCCATTTTCTCATCTTCACTGGTGTAAGAAAAGTCAAAATCTTAACAGCAAGATGTAATAGAA